AAAAAAAATTTTTTTACTTTTAATTTATTATTTATTTAGATTTAATTACTCAAACAAACACAACAAGTAACAAATACAAGAGGCTATACACACTTAACACAAATAAACTAGTACAAAAGCAAGAGTTATACGAAAAAACTGATGATAATTTTCTACTTACTAGGTATACTCGAATAATCCAAAAAAATTAAGTATATATATAAGGTGGCAAAGTTAAAATACAAGAAATCAATAATGTAAGTAAAAGAATTTCCACTGTAAAGTGTTGCAAGTTCAAATGTCCCGACATGGCGCTGCTTTTCTGTGAATTTAGTCCATTATAAACTGAATATTAAATGTAAAACATTAAAATGTGTCTAGCAGTCTAATACTCAAAGTATAAAATTATTTCGTCAGATTATTTTTTTAAATATATTTATCAAAACGAAAAAAAAAATTGCACAAACAAAATTCTACGTACATGATTCATAAAAAAATATAAATTTTCTAAAAATTTAATTCTTAGAAAATTTTGCTGAGAAAAAAAAATTTAAAATATACTTTAGACAAATATTTTTTAAATCCCCGAATTAGTTATTTTAATCCCGGGATTTTAAAATTTGACGAAACACCGAGATTCCGGGGCTATACAAACCCTATTTTAAATACATTTAATATATTTTAATAGCATTTACTCTTCTTCTTTTTAAGAAAGCCATGCAATAGATTAATATTGTTATTTAAGATGAGTATCCTTAATCTTAAAGTAGCATATCTGACAAAAATAATTTTACTTGAAATTTTTGATGTGTTAAAGAATTAATGTGCTACATATAAAAATTTATAATTACCATTTTTTTACTTTACTTTTAATGTTCTTAGAAAGAAGTATATTCATTTCTGCATCAAGTTTTTATTATGTTGATAGTTTTTAGTTATACTTAATTACTTTTACATACTCTTATTGCGCGTTTATATCATACATATATGTTTTTATACATACATAAAAAAGAAAGAAATTATTGAAAAATGCATGACGTTTTGTGCATTTTACTTTTCCTTTATTTGAATTGTAAGAGCAAGTAGACTTTCATGTAAGATTGAATTGCAAACACATTGTCTTTCATGAATAATTTAAATGAAAGCTTAACCAAAAATGGTTACAAATTTATCTTCAGGCTGAAAAAATACAGAATAAAATATTAAAATATTTACTTTACCTCAAAACTCTACTGAAAAAATTCCTCAAAAATTATACATGTCGAAAATAATTCTTTTCACGAAAATATAAAATCTGTACAGTTAGATCAGATATGAGGTATTCAGTAAAAAAAAAAAAAACTTTGATTTTTTTAGTATTGTATATTAATAAGTAATATAAAAAAATTAAATCAATTTCTACTTAGGTCAACAAAGAAAATTTTTATTTTAGTTATTTTTCCTCAAAGAGTTAAAATTAATATAAATATGTATATACATATGACAGAATCACAAGATTAAGTGACAAAATAAAAAGCGATTTTCATTGCAATTTTCTATTTCCCTTTCTATATATGACATTGGACTATTTTTTATGTTCGTTACTATTTATTCATTAATTAAATTTAATTATTCTAATAAAATAATTTAACAAAAAAAAAAAAAAAAAAAAAAAAAAAAAGGAGTTACATAATCTGAATTTAGGCCATTTCAAGTGGTATTCAAACTCACGATCTTTGGATTAGAAGTCTGTTACGCTAATTTTCTTTTTTATACGTGTGGTGGTGGACTATTACTTTGTTTGTACAATTTATTCATTAACTGAATTTAATTAATGAAATAATATTAAAAAAAACTGTATTAACATCAAGTGCTACTTTACAAAATTGTATTTGAACTTGAATGGATGAGATTAGAAAATATTTTATTAACGATTGAAAATTTGAACAAGTACGTATATCTATATCTATATCTATATCTATATCTATATCTATATCTATATCTATACATAGGGAGAGAGGGAACTAATAGTTGGAATTTAAAAAAAGAGAGCTTTGTTCTATACTCCTTAATTATTTTGCATTATACTGTAACTACTTGAGAGAGTGAGATAAAAAAGAAAGAGGGAGGAAATGAAGGAGTGAGTGAAAGATCGAGTGTGCACGCATGTGAGAGGAGAGCGTGTGTGTGAGAAAAAAAGTGAGTGAATTTTTTCGTCGCACTGTTCAGGTACTCAAAGGCATTTCACAAGGACCTTGTAATTTTGAAAAATAGTCAGTGACGATGACGACACTTGAGTTGGCACCCCCTTCCTAACTACCACACCAATTGGAGGACGATTGATGGTCTCGAAAGATTTAGCATGCATCGCTCCCCTACCCAGTCTTCAGTGGTACTGGGCTCGAACTCATGACACGCTGGCCACGAGTCCAGTACCTTGACCACTTGTCTGCCATGGCAAGGCCCTGGAACGAGAGAGAAATCAGCTAAAAATGAAGAATTCCAAATAATTTTTTTGCAATCTAATTTTATTGTATAAATAATTTCAAAACCGATTGAATTCGAACACATTTTAAAAGCATAAGAAAATCCTAAGTATTATTATTAAGTTAACACCGTTTGTATAAACTTAATTATTATTATTATTATTGTTTAACCGCTAAGTTTCATTCATCCTTGATTTCTAACAAAATTAAAGTTTAATTATCGGTTTTTATGCATTTTGACATTTGAATTATTATATTTTGTACAGAATTGTACGGAATTAATTTACTCTATGCCATGTTCCTTCATAGAAGAGATTATTTTTATATTTGTTTGTGAATCATAATCAGTTACATTTCATATCATGAAACAAATACAGCTGTTCATTAGATGAGAATTTTTCCTACAGAAATCAGATATATTCATTCCAAAAATTATTGTTTATTTTATGAAGTAAAAAGAAAATTATTTACAAGACATAAATTATATGTCATTTTTCTCTCCAAAGAACAGCAACTACACATGTCAAAATATTTAGTCTTCATCAAAAGAACTTAAAAATAAAAATTAAAAGTATCAATCATCTGGTTTAGAAGTTTCTCTTCCAGTATTAAGTATATTGCTTCTCAATGTTGAGTATACATCTGTCATAATTCTGCAGTTGAATCCTAATAAAAAATTTAATTTGTTTTTGTATATTTTAAGGGAATTTTTTTGCTTATTACTTTTAAGTTTGGAAGAAAGTTTTTTATATTGAAAACATTATTTAAAAACATCCTTTTTAGAGAGGAAAGTAACAAAAAAAAATGTGTTCTGAATATTTTTTAACTGTTTGCTGTTTAAATTCAATCTACTTTTCTTCTTCTTTTTTTTAAACATTATCTTTCTTTCTCTCTTTTTTTACTCTAAATAATTTTTTTTAAAAAAAATCAATATTTGAAATAAATATAAAGAATTGCACCAATAATTTAATGATTTGGTTTTACCTCTGTTGATTTACTATGAGCATTTTTTACCTTCCTTGGATGCGTTTTGTGATGGCTTATTATTTGAGAATTTAGGAGTTACTGATTTACTTGTGTTAGCCATTTAATAATCTTTTTTTTTACACACACTTTGTATTAGAAATAACAAATTAAGCAGTAAACCATTTTTTTAATTCACTTCCTTTTGGGAAAAGTAATACTTTGTTTTGAATATTTTAAAAAAATGTTGTTCAAAATACATTTAAAACATTTAATATTTTAAGTGCACCCTTCAAATGAAAACTAATTTTTTCAGACATTAGGGATTCAATTTTTTTTTTACAAAAGAATAAAAGTTAATAATTTTAGAATTAATTTTCTATTTAACAATTCTCTGGTAAGATATCTTCACAACAACTATTGGGAAATTATTTAATAGCATTAATTCTTTTTATTATATTCTAAATACAGATTTTTTCACTTAATTTATTTTAATCAAACCATTTTTTTGCTTCTTACACTGTAATGTGGATTTCAATGTCTGATGGTAATGTATTTATATGTTTAACAAATGATAAAATAACAAAGCTGTTCTAAAGAAATTAAAAAGCCTAATTTATTTTTTAAAATTATTAATAACTGAAAAAAAAGTACAGTGGGTGCTCATGTGTTTTCTTTCCTTTAATTATCCTCTGGGGCACTTTATGATGTTATTTAATTTGACCTCACCTTGTGAAGGAAACGTGACCTATGAAAACGAGTATTCACATTAGAGGAGATCTGACGAAAGAATGAAGAGGAGACGATTACAAACGAAAGAGTAGAAGTTATGAATCAGAGTATTGTAGCGGTACCATCTATATAAGCCAGTAACTACCTCCGCACCACGGTGATCATTTTGGTGTAGGGGATAAGTTACTCGGCTTTGGATCCAAAGGTACCTGGTTCTATCCTACAGGATAAGCGCGCCACTTCATTGGTGACCCTGGCTGAACTCAGAAAGACGCAACGTTCTGAACTGTCGTGGCGCCATCTAGTCGTCTCACATATGACGCAATCAACAAAGCCGTCACAACTCATGACGCAGCAGCAAAAACACGCTTGATTAAACAAATACATCGTTCGTTCGCCCTCCACCGACTCACTGGTGGGGTGTATGTAGCGGTACCATCTATATAAGCCAGTAACTACCTCCGCACCACGGTGATCATTTTGGTGTAGTGGATAAGTTACTCGGCTTCGGATCCAAAGGTACCTGGTTCTATCCTACAGGATATAAGCGCGCCACTTCAGTATTAAATGAAGCATTCTCATTCTTATTTACGAGTCAAATAGCCACCAGAAGTTTTAGATGTAGATTCGTCTTATAAAAGTTGTCCTTTTCATCTCACAACACAAGTATAAACTCCGATTCGTTGAATTTTTTTTTTAAAAAAAATATTAAATCTTTTCTATTATGTTTTTGGTCACCAATATTTATTCGCAGGTAACCTTTGACTTCAGTACTAGCTCAAGAACACTAACTTGTAGGCTTAAAAACATAAACACCATTTATCTAAACGTACTTTTAATAAAAAAATTAAGTTGTAAAAAGCCTCTTTCCAGTATGATGGTTATGATACTCGGTTCATAATCGAGTGCGTTCGGGTTCGAACCCCGAATAAGGTATGGATGTATTTGTGGGAAAAGAAGTTGGTCTTTCGCCTGAAATGGATTTCAGTCTCGAATGGGGAGCAGCACATTCCTTCTGTTCTATACTGAGATCATCGTTTATAATAAAATCCATATTCCTCTGTATTTGCATTGTATGCTTCTGTTCATCTGTCACTCGTCTTTCGTATGTGTCTCAGGATGAAATGCACGACAACAATTGAAAAAAAAAACCCCTTAAAATTAGTTAAACTAAAACAAACGACGTTACAACACGATTGTAAGAAACGTGCATATCAAGGACAAAAAATCACGAATCTGTTGATTTTTCCTTTCGGAAGAATTACTCATAGTTCGTAGAGACATTGAATAACGTGTGTTGAAATAACAATCCTTGACGTGGATCGATTTGATTTGCATTCGCGTTATTTTATGGTGTATAAATGGACACATAACGTACACTCAAGAGCCAAAACATTATGACGACCTCTACATTTTGCAATGAACTCGCTGGATGACGTGGAAGGCACGTGATCAGGTGGAAGTGGTATTTAACTGCTGCTGGAGAGTCTGAAGAATCATTCTTTCACTTACTTCTGTGTGTGATAGTAAAGACTGCGGACCTAAACGACTTAGATAGAGGGCAGATTGTAATGCTCGAAGCCTTGGAACAAGTATTTCCGAAACTGCCCGAATCGTTGGGATGTTCGCAATCTACAGTTGTTAGTACTTATGCAAAGTGGATGATGACGGTGAAACCAGCAGTAGACGACATGGTGTTGGACGTCCACACGCTTTCAAAGAAAAAGTTCTTCGGGGATTGTCTCGCATGGTGAAGCAAAATCACAGCCATACAGTGGCTCAGCAGACAGCTCAATACAATGCAGCGTCAAGTTGAATAGTATCGAAGCACACTGTTCAGCGGACATTGTTGGATATGGGCTACACAGCAACGTCCCATCGTGTGCCTTTGCTGACCAAGCGTCATCGACCACTGCGCTGGGACCAGGAACATCGCGATGGTCCATGGATCAGTGGAGAGAGTTGCCTGGTCAGATGAATCACGGTTTGTCATTCATCACGCGATGGCCGTGTCAGGATACGCAGTTTCCAGGCGAAAGTTGCTCCTTCAATGTACAGTAGGTCATCACAGGCCGGTGGTGGCGGTATTATGCTTTGGGGACGTTCTCTTGGGCGTCTCTGGGACCCGTGGTTGTGGTAGAGCAGACCATGAATGCTACAGGGTATCTGAACATCATTGCACCGTTGACCTCTGTTTTTCCACTGGAAATGGAATGTTCCAACAGACAACGCCCTGTCACAGGCTAAAATTGTGTTGAGTAGTTCCAGGAACATGATGCTGAATTCCAGTTAATGTCCTGCGCCTAACTCACCGGATCTCATCCATAGAACACATTTGGGATGTCATGGGACGGCAGCTCAGAGTTCAAAGACCACAATTCGCAATATCTCGGATTTGCGTGACCGTTGCTTAAACATCTGGTACAATCTGTCTCCGGCCATCTACCAAGAACTTGTGGCATCCATGCCAAGGCGGGTTGAAACTGTGTTGCGCGCCAAAGGTGGACCATTTCGTTATTGACAGGTGTCATAAGGTTTTGGCTCTTGAGTGTATATAACAACTTTACTGTTTGGCGTTACCTATTCTAAAATAACAAACAATAGAGGACATTTTAATTAGCCCCTATTCCGTGTGATGGTGAAATACGATGAATATTTTAATATTTTCTAGAATGAAATGAAATATTCCTCATCATCATTAATTGCATGAAAGTGTACCTTAACTTTGAAGATTTTCGCAGCCACCTTTGTCACTTGAATAGGAGATTTTTTTCCCTTTGCAATCAGTCGAAACCGGAGCATACATTTTTTTACATAAAAAAACACGTACAGTGAAAATCGTTTAACACGAAACTGAGGGGGCTGAAATATTTTTTCGTGTTAAAAGAATCTCGTGTAAAAGAATATTGCAAAAAAAAAAATCCTATATTTAACAAAATTAAGTTTATTAGAGTACATTTTATTTCCATAAATGTGTATAAAACATTTCTGTAATTTGCTATCGTTTTTTAATTATTGTTGACAATGTAGAGTTAGCAAAAACAAAACCTTTATAGATTTTGTTTTTGGTCAACAGCCTTAAGAAGCCCCATCCTCATTTTTAAGCGAAATAAAAGTTTTCCCCTCTGAGATCTTTGCCATTGTGCTGGTAAGAAAATTCTTCTAAAATAGGGGAAAAACAAACCGTGAACCAAATTCACTAATTTTTACTCACACTGCAAAGTACTCGTCACTCAATTCCAAAGCCAAATGTTGATATATGAGATGTTTTTGTGTGCGTTTGTAAGGGGTGAAAGTAGCTTAGATAAGCAAAATTGGCTTGTATCACAGGCTATTCTGAGGGCATTTCAAAACCAAGTTAGCCTCCTTTCTACTAAACATGTGAAATCATTTCTCTTTCATTTCACACCTCTCTTAAGGTATCCGACTACCCTAAAACTGTGAATTTTGCCAAAAATTGACAATTTTTTTATGCTTTTATTTAATGGGCCATCTTATTAGCTTTATAAAAAATACGAAGTTTATCATATTCCGTTTACAAACAAAACTACAAGTGTTTTAGTAAAAGCAGATGCCATTACTTTAAGCAAGATGTCATACTTTAAAACGCGTTTTACTCGAAATGCGGTTTTTTGAAAATAATCAAACGGGGTCAGCGATTGCTAAAAAAGTTTTGAACATAATTAACTGAAATCTTTTCTGTAAGTTCTGTAGAATAGTAGAATTGTTTTAACCTTCAGATTTATCAATCACTGTTTTATTACAAAATTTGCAATCCCTTATGTGAATATATACTGTCTTTTTAAGCATTTTCATATAGTAACCGAGATAAAGTGCTCTAGTTATTGTAAAAAAGAAAATATCTCTTATCCTGAAGCTCATTTCAAAAATTGAATAATATAGCAACATATAGATTGAAAAAATTGAAAATTTGTTTATAAACCTTTGGTGCAGAATGGGCCGCGTTTATGCTATTTTTTGTCAATTTTTACCTATTTTTTCCCATTTTAGTAATAATAATTTCTTTTTCTCTTCTTAATTTTAGCACATTTTTTTAAAATGCACTAAACAAATCTAAAAATAACAAAAAAATCCCATACTCCTTTTTTTCTAAAAAAAAGTTGTCGCAACCAGTCGGATACCTTAAATCTTGCCTACTTGGCTGGTGTTTTTCCTATTTTGTTCATTCCAGAAGAGAAATCTTTCGTGTGTTAAGTGATTTAGTTTCGTGTTAAGAGAAAAATGTATGAAAATAGATAGTAGTTTGAAGGGACCTTTGTATCATTTTGTGTTAACCGATATTTCGTCTTAAGCGTTTTCGCTTTAAACGTATTTTACTGTATATAAAAATTGTGTTGCGGAATTCCCTTTGTAGTATTAAAAGATTGTAATAGCGGAATCATCCATTTTCTCCAATAAATTGTGATTTAAAAATGCATGCAACGTGCAGGTATATGGTAGGTGATTGACTATTTTCACTAATTCTTCAAATATACTTATCTATCCACAGAGCTATACAGAAAAGCATTATTTTTCAATTTGACTGAACTGAATTAAATTTGATTCTATCATTGTGATGCCCTAGAAATTACAAAGTACTTGAGGTGCAAAACGTGTGTGACTTACTGTATCTTCATAATTTAATCATCTATATTTACATTAACGAATAAAAATTTAAAACTGAGTCAAAAATTTATGGGAGCATACTTTCAAATTCCATGGAAAATTCAATGTCCGAAAAACAGTGAAGGGAGACAAAGTTGAATCTTATTTTCGAACATTCAGGGCAGCATAATAAGAAAACCACATTA